TTGAAAACATTGCATTACATTATGTGCGTGTGATAGATACACATATTGTAGGGTTCTTAAGGGGGAAGGTCGGAGGGGGCGGGTGGCCAAGGGAGCTTAGGGGAGCTTTCAACTCTGATTCCCTGAAGTTCTTACTCTCAAACGCTCGAAAAATCCCACATCTTCTGTTGGTCATGAATGATCGATACCACCACAGGAAGGGGCCCCCTAGTTGTAAGTTGGTTTCTAACCCCATCTAACTACTATAGTTATATCCTCTATAAACCCTAGTTGACAGAGTTATAAGTCAACGTAGCCGTAGCCCTGGGGCCTCTTCCTGCATTAACCATCATTTGTGGCTCCGAAACAGTGAACCATCCAACTGCTGGGCACCCGCTGTCGATCAAAGACGTCACCCGGAATCTCTTCGGGTGGCGGTCGCTTTCGGTTCCTTGGCCATGCGTCAAAGACACAAACAGGTGAATTGAGCAGTGACCAGAACCTGTATTGATCTGGATTCTGGATAATCAAATTGCAATACTATGTCACTGATCTGAAAAGTTTGGCATTTGGGATAGTTACTATACAATTACATCATTTCAGTTACAGTAGGTCGCAATGAGGTCGTTACAATTTATCAAAATTGATGATCGTATGGGGTCATACTATCTTACACTACCCTTACTACAACATATATTGGGACTATCATAGTCCACAGGGGTTTTGGTTTGAACGTTGAGTTCACGGGAAATCTTCAGATTGAACGGGACACGTTGGACATGGTTGCCTGAAGGTTTTCCTCCAATCATCCAATAGATACGAGACTTGAACCTTGTGGAGAAAAAAGTGTGGTTCGTTCTTCGGGCCGCTGAATTGCCACATGCACACATGAATCATATTCACTGCCTTCTGTGCTTGCACATGTGCTTTTGTCATGTTCGCTTTGCATATTGTTGATTTGGAGCAACATGATGACGGTCAAAGTAACATACACAGTGGATATCGAACCTCAATGCGGGGTTTCTAAAACGTTTGCTTTCACGAAAAACAACTGGTTGGTGGTTTACCTACCCCTCTGAAAAATACTACAGTAGTCACTTGGGGTTACGACATACCCAAAATTACTGGAAAGCCATAATCCAGCCATGTTCCACACCACCAGAGGAGGATGGGACTCGGGCCCACGGGATCACCAAGACACTCAATGTCACAGCCTGCTTTGTACCTTGGACCAAGCAGCTCTGCTCCATTTTATGGGTTGGGAAAATCAAGGAAGGTATAGTTGCTTGGCATTGGTAATCCCAGACCGTCTTCATAAAATTTGGCTTTCTTAGAATGGGGGATCTCCGAAACCATTGGTTTAAATAGTTACAATTGTCTAATTTTGGGTGAATTTGGGATACCCCTATTTTACAAAACCTCCACATATTAGCATATATTACATCTTCCCACATCTTCCCCGACAACACTGTTGTGATTTGAAAGTGGTCCCTAACCCGACTGCGCTGACTATGCTTGAGCTGGCACTTCTTTCATGCGGAATCACAAACATCACAAACTCCAATTATTCAATTGAAAGTTTGTCATCACAAACGCTCTAAGTGACCTTTCTCAGTTTGTTCCAACACTTGAAGGTCACTTGAAAGTCACACTTGAACGGGACAACCGTGTAGGCTATCAATTATGTCTTCGGATGTGTTGAAAACTGTTTGGGGTGATCTTGCTAGCACCATCGGACCATGATTCAATGAGTTTTGGAGCACAACAAAATAACGACGATTGTCTGGATTGCACATGCGCATATACGGGATATCTGAAAAACATTTTTTTTGAATAATATTATATAGATGAAATTAGAACCCTTTTGCGCCCTTTAGGTCAAACAACAATATCCTTTCTCTGTTGGGTGATCTCTTATTAATCGCTTCCTGGTCCGCATCGCGATCGAGCAACTCCTCCTTGGTGCGGCGCCAGGTCATGGGTATGAAGTGAAATATATTCGAGCCCCATCCATAGCCACGCCCTCCAGCGATATAGCTTTTTAATGATTTAATCGTGATCGAATGGTGGTTTAATGGTGGTGAAAAGGGATGTAATATAGGATGTTATGGAAAAAGACAATTTTTAACAGGCAACTCAACGCTTTTATCTTCGATTTCGATGGGCCATGGCTTCCTTCCGTAGCTATATTAAAAAACCAAAGGGTAGTTGATCTGCAACAACTTCTTCGGGAGCGTTGACCCAGCTATTGGGTACCACAGGCCATTTAAGCCTAAGCTGATATGATGGCTGCGAAATGTTAGTTTAAGGGAGGTAGTACAACCTGCATGATTTGAAACCCTCTGAAACCCACAACCTTAAACCGAACTTAAGGCTTCTAACCCCACGACAAGGCAGCCAGCATGCAACTGCTCCCCTGAAGCTGGTGATGCTGTACACCCCCAAGATTTCTTAAACTTCTGCATGTAGGGTTCAACCATTTAAAATTCGAGTTTTGAGGGTGGATTAAACCAAGTTTAAACTCACCGTGTTTTTTTTGTTTGCCTTAAATAGTCTCACGTATGGATGCATTGAATCATCACCTTTCATCACCATTTTCACGCACTTAAACTATTAAACCATGCATGTTTCATCATGTTTCATGACTAAAACCATGTATTAGCGCGCTTTTTCAAAGGTCCATGGACGTTCCAACCCCCCCACTGCGGCACCTGGCGTCCAAGGCGTCCAAGGCTCTGAGTCTTCAGGCCATTCCTCGTCCCTCCGCAGGAAGCCGCGGAAGTGGCTGGAGGTGAGCTCCGTCAGCGCCATGGGAAGATTTTTCAGCTGGTGAAAGCAATGGTGAAACGGTGAAACCTATAGGCATTTCATGAGAGTTCACCAGCAAATGATGGAAATATTACCGAAAAATTGACTGAAAATATGGTGATGTTTGGGGGTTTTTAACCAGCAAACATCGTGATTTCATTAAAAATGATGATCTAACCGGGAAGAAACTATAGGAGTTAACCATAGTTCATAAATTATTAAATCCGCTGATAATCAGATCATGATAAACATGCATATTCGGGTGTGTCTGAGTTCATGGTGGATTCGCCCCCACGGATGGTTTTAATGGGGAAACTTCTGATGATCATCCCTTTTGGAGTGATGAAAATCCCCAATGGCGACTCGGACTCTGCTGAACTCTGCACCATCTCTTGACCGAGTGATTCCTGTCATTCCCTGCTCATCTGTGACTAGTTTTGGTGGTGCCTGGATGAACATTTGCTTGGTATTGGGCGTATTACTTAAGTCCAAAGCAAAACTATGATGAACTATGACATGTCGGGAAACTCTGTAGCTCCTCAGCCCCTGAAATAGAGAAATGCGGATACAACCATAGCTCCTAACAGCTCCCCAACAGCTCCATGCAGTTCCAACGGCCAGGTTTGAGTGATGTCATCCCAGCTGCTTCACTAGAAAAAAATTAGAGGTCAACCCCCAACCCCAATTTGACGAAGAGGACATATGATTTCCTGAATGTTTTTTTTTCCCCCTTATAATACCCTCTGGTTATTTAACATAGCTATGGAGCATAACCATTTGCTAAGTTCGGTAAATCATCATGTTTATCATCTATTTCTATGGGCCATGGCTTGCATAGCAAACTGCAAAGAATAACCAAAGTGCACAAAGGTAAAACCCCCATGATGTTCTAGAATGTTCCATTTAATCACCATTGTTGTTAGTTAATTTCCATATTATGATATGTATATATTATCCCATTTAACCATTAGTTTTGTTAGTTAAATCCTATGAAATCCACAGAATTTTGTCCTTCCAATGAATTTCTCCCCACCCTCAGCTTCGCACAGAGCTCGGCCGCTCCTCTTCCAATGCGGCGACCTTTGACCCGTCCCGGTGACCCGCCTACAGTGGGTTTCATTCGTGGGATCCTGCCACCATCTCCAAGTAGACGCCATGGGAGGGAGATCATAAACCATCTCTACTTTGGGACATACCATGGTATAGCCCAAAAATTATATATATATGTTCATATATATATATATATAGCATATTCATTCATATTTACATATATAATATATATATATATAGATGGTTTGTGAACGTGGGGTTGCAACTGTTGCAGGTCCAAATTTGAAAATCTGACGTCGGGCGCTCCCAAATGCTCCTTTGTGCTTCTGATTCATGTGGGAACCCCTGTTGTAGATTTTCTTACTAACAAGCACTGAAGGTTTCAAATCTGGCTTTGTTCAAGAGCAGGCCAATTTAGACATGGGCATATTGTATGCAAATTGGAGCAAATGTCAAGTATTTATGTAAAATACACATAATATCGATTATTCTCATATTAGCCCCTTGAACCGCGTGAAACTTCAAGGACACGACAGATAACAACAAATTTTGTGCGATGGAGAGCAAAGGCTTCTCCAAGCTCCATTGTTAGCAAACGAGGGTCATCCACTTGCAGCTAAGGGAAGAAAAAGCCTGGGTCACCGGTGGTGTGTTCCCGGCCTTCCCTGGAACGTCTGAATTGGACAGGACTCGAACCATCCTATAGGTATCTATAAGTACTGTACATGGTCTGAGGGAAAATCCTGCGCCACAACTACCCAATAGCACCTGTGGCAGAGCAAAAGTTAGAAGAGACTTCTGCATGAAAACGCAGAGGGGATGTCCTTCAACATCCTTCGGTATGCATAGATCGATATTGATCTGCAATGATCAACGAGATGGGTTTGTTTGAAAATAAGGATGCACCTTTTTTAATCAATTTTCACAGGGAAAATATATGGGAACATGATGATTTCACAGTGGCTAAATGGGGACCCCTTTTTCAAACAAACCCAGATATTATTGACTATACTGGTTGGTGGCTTCAACCTGTCCTGTTAACATGCGGCAGTCATCATTCATCATCATTCCATTAAAAACACTTTGAACATCGTCAATTAAACAAAACAAACACTTTGAAACCACCAAGCAGATTAGCAATGAGCAGTGATTCAATGATCAAATTAAAGCCAAAATACATAACTTCTCTGGGAAAGTGGGCTGACCCCTTCGCTTCCTGGCTCATCTACAGGGGAACTGCTGGAAAATGACGATGCCACACTCCTGACATCGCCATCCGCGGACACCGTACACCCATCCACGGATCTAGCCATGGGCGGGACCTCCAAACCAGGAGGGGGATGTAGGACTGCCAAGTCTGAGATTTTGCTTGCGATGGGCCCCACACAAAAAAAAAAGCATCACATATCACCAAAACCGTTATCCAGTCACTTCATGTCAATTCCGAATAATTGCTGGTGGATTCATTCACACCAATTTTTGGAAAAAAGAGGAACATTTTTCACACCGACTCAGCAAAAATCTAAGGAACGCATGCTCAAGGACTCCAGCTGGTTCATCTTCATCTGAAGCAACTGCATCTGGGAGATGGCATCACTTGGACTTTGCACCTGGGGGGAGCAGCGACTCAGCGATTTTTGAGGGGCTTTTTGATGCTGAAAAACCTGCACTGCTTCAGATAATTCCAAGCTAATTCATGTTTCTCTTGCTTAAAGATCCTCTTATATAGATTTATATAGTTCATCTAAAATTTAACATGGGCCGATCTACAGTATCTGAATAATATTGAATATGTCATTCGACATGCCTCCCGAGACAAACTACCGTCCAGTAAACCAAGATAGATGTGGAAAATCCACCGTTCGTAGATCAAATTTCTGGAGAACCCCATGGATTTCCATAGCACTACCCATCCTCCCACCTGTCTCACCTGTCTCACCTGTCTCACCTGTCCCAGCTGCACCTTGATCTTCATAGCAGCTTCCATGCCAGCCTTCCAAGCCTTGCGTCGCCCCACCGGAGTTCTTGCTTCAACTGGCATTGACTGAAGCTCTTCCTTTCCGTGGGCGAAGTTGCATGCTGCACCCTTCAGGCACTGACCCCTGGAAGTGAACCTGGGGAGCGATTGGTGAAGGGTGCACAATGGATGATACCATACCACAGATTAACATAGACACTGCCAACAAAATAGAGATAAATAGAGGCTTGCGGTTGGAAGACTACATTCCTCTGAGAGGGGATGATTAGAGGTGTTAGTTGGGAGGGTTTTTGTCAGTAGACCATTAAAGAACATGGGCTATGCGCAGGGGAGACTTTGGGAGAACTGCTAATGAATGACACTGAAACCTCGAGTCTAGCTCAGGAAAAAGCAATCCTCATGGCAACGGCCAAATATCAACATCACCCAAACATAGATCCAACCTCCCATTTGGATGGCTCTTTAACATCTTTCACAGACAACAGCTAGATGTCAGGGAAAACCACGGAATCCAACACCTCAACCCATCTAATATCATATACACATCCATATCATCCATGAAACTGAAAGCACAGTTTGGTCTTAAGCAAAGGTGGCGCCGATCTCAGCTCTTCGCTCGAGTGTGCGAAATTGCACTCGTTGCCCATGTGGCAACGCTTGGAATGCCAGTATTTGCACATCTGCGTGAATTTCAAGGTGTTTCGGGTCTCTTGTGTCGTCATCTTACGAAAGAGAAAGTCCAACAACTGTGGTGTGTCTTGAGCCAAATACTACATTACCGTCATTTCAAGCCATTTTGACCGATGACTAGCCCCGTATTGTCCCACCAAAGCTTGGGATTTTCCACGTTATTACCGCATAGGGTATATACATTACAAATATAATTATATATAATCATAAATAAAAAAATATAAATAAATATAATTAAATAAATAAATAAATATATATATATCTATTATATAACCACCAGAAGTGCATAGAAATGGTGGTCTTAGCATCAAACATGCGAATTCAACAAGGAAATGGAGACCATATGAGACAATAGCCCGCAACATGATTTCTTGATCCCCCAATGAAGTTAGTAGCGCTAGTGTCACCCTCGAACTAATCATGACACATGAACATGTTGCATAATTATCTAACATGGGTATGGGTCAGAACCCATGCCCTGGTACCCAAAATAGCTGGTTTTTATTGGCCAAATGGATGTTCATCCCTCAACATCTCCCAATATGCTTGCCCGCCTGCGTCAATGTCAGCCATACCCACAGGTAATCTGCTTGGTGGTATACCTACCCCTCTGAAAAATGATGGAGTTTGTCAGTTGGGGTCATTATTCCATTCCCAACATATGGAAAGTCAGTCAAACTTCCATGGTTCCAGTCACCACCAACCAGGTCATGATGGGAAACTGATGATCAACCCATGGATTTCGGTGGCATCTCAAACAAACGCCCAGCGGCGCGACGCCCAGCGGCGCGCCGCTGTGCAGCAGAGCCTCATGGCAAGTTTCGCGGGAAAGTCATGGGATTGACCCATGGCTGGTGGCATGGCTGGATGGCAATATATGGCAATGGCCATCATGTGAATAATCAACAGTGGAAATTTAATCATAATCAATCATCAATAATCATAAATAATCATAAATAATCAATATATAATCAATAATCAACAATCAATAATCAATAATCATTGCCACATCAATAATCACTAATCATTGCCACATCAATGGCTGATCATCGGGATCATGAATTGATGTGGCAAAACACTGGAAATTCAATCATCGGCCGCATAAATGTTCAATCCATTTGGGCTTAAAAGAAAAAACATCATGGAATGTGAGGTATGCCTGCCAAAACGATCCAGAAAAATACTGCGAGCGAATCAGCCACCAAATTGGGAGGTTGGGGCGTGGTTGGTGGTCTCAATCCCATATTAAAGTCATGTGGTAAACCCAATGTCATAAACCACCCCCAAGTCATCACCATTTTCATGGGTTGTATAAATCATCCCAAAATGGTAGAGGTTTAATCATGCGGTTTTCAATGGTTTTCCACATGTGTCCTTTTGGAACATCATTTGTGGATATTTTGGATAGTGATTCGAATATTCCACCACCCAACAAGAATATCAACCTACACTGATCTGGGTAAAAAATGGTAAAAAACATCATTTTTCACCAGCCTGATATTTCAGGCTTTATTGGTGGTGATTCCTCGGATCCAATTCCCATGATTCCAGGGTTTTTAGGTCACGGGAACTATAATTTACCTAGAGGGACCTACCATGACCTCACAAATGGAAACAACTCGCGTGCTGAGTGGCGGGGTCGCTTCTTGAACGGGGGCGGGTCACTGAAAATCCTCAGTGCCATGGAGTGCATGCGGCTGAATTCAAAACAGCTTCAGGATTTTATGATGATGTTGCAACACTATCTGCACATACACACATCTATACATGTATACAGTACACATTAAATCTGTGTATACACATCGGTGTCCACACGTGTATAGATCATACATGTTACATGCGTATGCATATACAAATATACACCATGACATTTATGCAAAAAAACATATTTATTATATATATATATATGTAGAGAATATGCCTCTGGCCTGCTTATGTTCACATCCTGGTTTGATGGGTTCCATCGTTTGTTGTTCGTTTGTTTCACTGGGTGCCCGACTGGCCCTGGTGTTTCCAAGTCACCGCTTTCCAGAATGGCAAGCCCTGTATCAACAGGGGGGGGTGCTAAATCCAATGCCATTTTTGGGCCTTGAAGGTGCGCTTGGGGTTATGAGTTGGTATAATTTAGGTGATAAGTGATAAGCACCATTTAAATGGGATGTAACCCCTATAATTTACCTACTCACAAGGATACTCAAAGGATTGTTTAAGGGTGGAATTATTCCACACTTGCAAGGCTTCCCTATGAAAAGAAAACAAATGGGGTCGATTGTTGGGACCCCCCGTTGAAAGAGACAGGGGTCAAAAAAAGTTGCACCATAGAGTGTATCAAGTACATGAAACAAAGCCAGGTTGAGGCAACCTGGAGCCTGACATGACCAAGGGGAGTCAACACTGGTAGAAAATATTGGTATCAAAAATGGTTTCCAGATAAACCCAAAAATGTGTCATGCGCTATCCATATGTTTTGATGCACAGCCAACATGATCTACCGACTCATCTACTCTTTTCATTTCATTTCTATTGATTTGGTCCCAATTGTTTAAGTTTAAGCTGATGATGATGTCCTGGGCCCATGTACATCCCCCAAGCCTCGGATGTAAATCTTCAGTTTATGTTAGTTTTTTTATTACCCTCTGGTTATTTAACATCGCCATGGGAAAATGGCCCCAATCGAAATAGATGGTTTACCTATGTTTACCTAATTAATAGCATGGTGATTTTAAGCACGGCTATGTTAAATAAATAACCAGAGGGTAATATTGAAAATAGGTAAACTAGGTAAACCATCTATAAATGGGCCATTTTCCCATGGCTATGTTAAATAACCAGAGGGTAATAAAAAACTAGACGACGGATGGCCCGAGAGCGTAGAGGAGCAGAGTCTTCTGTTGTTAGTATGGAGACACTATATTACAAGATAATATATTAAAGATGTATTATAGGCAGACGAGAAGAGTAGTATCAAGACAATATATGACTAGTACAAGACAATAGTTTGCATCGTTTTGTAAAGTTGTTCATACACAGAACTTTTTACAGACAGACGCTTTTGCACACAGAGACTTTTACACACAGAGACTTTTACACACAGAGACTTTTACACACAGAGACTTTTACACACAGACGCTTTTACACACAGACGATTTTGCACACAAACACTTTTACACACAAAGACTTTTACACACAGAGACTTTTACACACACAGACGCTTTTACACACAGAAGCTTTTACACACAGAAGCTTTTACACACAGACGCTTTTACACACAGACGCTTTTACACACAGACGCTTTGACACACAGACGCTTTTACACACAGACGCTTTTGCACACGCTTTTACACACAGACTTTTACACACAGACTTTTACACACAAACGCTTTTTACACATAGGTTCTTTTACACACAGACGCTTTTACACACAGACGCTTTTACACACAGACGCTTTTACACACAGACGCTTTTACACACAGACACGTTTACACACAAACGCTTTTACACACAGAAGCTTTTATACACAGAAGCTTTTACACACAGACGCTTTTACACACAGACGCTTTTACACACAGACACTTTTACACACAGAGCCTTTTACACACAGACGCTTTTACACACAGACGCTTTTACACACAGACGCTTTTACACACAGACGCTTTTACACACAGACGCTTTTACACACAGACGCTTTTACACGCAGAAGCTTTTACACACAAACACTTTTACACACAGACGCTTTACACACAGACCCTTTTACACACAGACGCTTTACACACAGACCCTTTTACATACAGACTCTTTTACACACAGACGCTTTTACACACAGATGCTTTTGCACACAGAGACTTTTACACACAGGCGCTTTTACACACAGACGCTTTTACACACAGACGCTTTTACACACAGACGCTTTTACACACAGAGGCTTTTACACACAAACACTTTTACACACAGACGCTTTTACACACAGACGCTTTTACTTTACACACAGACGCTTTTACACACAGACGCTTTTACACACAGACGCTTTTACACACAGACGCTTTTACACACAGAGGCTTTTACACACAGACGCTTTTACACACAGACGCTTTTACACACAGAGGCTTTTACACACAAGCACTTTTACACACAAACACTTTTACACACAGACGCTTTTACACACAGACGCTTTTACACACAGACGCTTTGACACACAGACGCTTTTGCACACAGACGCTTTTGCACACAGTCTTTTACACACAGACGCTTTTACACACAGACGCTTTTACACACAGACGCTTTGACACACAGACGCTTTTTGACGATCGACCTTCATTTCGTGCGAAAGGGTTGCTCCAGGACAAGTAACCTCGCAATTTTTCCTCAGTTTTTGACGATCGACCCTCATTTCGTGCGAAAGGGTTGCTCGGGGACAAGTAAACTCGCAATTTTTCCTCAGTTTTTGACGATCGACCCTCATTTCGTGCGAAAAGGTTGCTCCAGGACAAGTAAACTCGCAATTTTTCCTCAGTTTTTGACGATCGACCCTCATTTCGTGCGAAAGGGTTGCTCCAGGACAAGGCAAATCGCAATTTTACCTCAGTTTTTGCCGATCGACCCTCATTTCGTGCGAAAGGGTTGCTCCAGGACAAGTAAACTCGCAATTTTTCCTCAGTTTTTGACGATCGACCCTCATTTCGTGCGAAAGGGTTGCTCGGGGACAAGTAAACTCGCAATTTTTCCCCAGTTTTTGACGATCGACCCTCATTTCGTGCGAAAGGGTTGCTCCAGGACCAGGACAAGTCAAATCGCAATTTTTCCTCAGTTTTTGCCGGTCGACCCTCATTTCGTGCGAAAGGGTTGACGTTTCGTGACTCACCGCCGGCACCACCCTCGGCCTTAAGAGAGAGAGATAAAAAGAAGGCGTGAGAGAGAAAAAGGAGAGAGAAAGGAGAGAAGATGTGAAGGTGAGAAGATGTGAGAGAAGGTGTGAAGTTGAGCAGATGTGAAGAGGAGCAGATGTGAAGATGAGCAGATGTGAGAGAAGATGTGAAGATGAGCAGATGTGAAGATGAGCAGATGTGAGAGAAGATGTGAGAGAAGATGTGAAGATGAGCAGATGTGAAGATGAGCAGATGTGAGAGAAGATGTGAGAGAAGATATGAAGATGAGCAGATGAGAGAAGATGTGAGAGAAGATGTGAAGATGAGCAGATGTGAAGATGAGCAGATGTGAAGATGAGCAGATGTGAGAGAAGATGTGAGAGAAGATATGAAGATGAGCAGATGAGAGAAGATGTGAGAGAAGATGTGAGAGAAGATGTGAGAGAAGATGTGAAGATGAGCAGATGTGAAGATGAGCAGATGTGAGAGAAGATATGAAGATGAGCAGATGTGACGATGAGCAGATGTGAGAGAAGATGTGAAGATGAGCAGATGTGAGAGAAGATGTGAAGATGAGCAGATGTGCAGATGAGCAGATGTGAGAGCAGATGTGAGAGAAGATGTGAAGATGAGCAGATGTGAAAATGAGAAGGTGTGAGAGAAGGTGTGAAGATGAGAAGGTGTGAAGATGAGAAGATGAGATACAGACCCCCACTATTGGAAGAACCCTGCGCTCAGACGCTCTCGGGAACTAACATAGCCGTGCAAAAATCCATCCCAAATATCCAACAAAACCCTGGTTCCCATTGGGAGATTTTGACCTCGAGACCTCGCCTCCCGTTGCTGGTCGTAGAACTGCGGCGCAGCCGCGACCTTGGGATTCTTCGGCCGCGTGGGCCACCTGGGCGCAGTCAGCGCAGTCGCCCAGCTCAAGATGGAACTAAAAGGAGGCTGAACAAAAACATTTGAAAAAAAAATGAGATACCCTCTGGTAAACTAACATAGCTATTGAACATGGTCATTTATAGTGGATTTACCCATTTAACATTGTGATTTTCCATGGCTATGTTAGTTTACCGGAGGGTAAGAGAAAAACACGCTGTTTGATCAGATCTAATTTTTGTAGAAATGAAGTGGTCGGGAACATCTATGGCCCCCCTGGCTAATCTTTATGCAAGTGAAATACCATGAAATACCAATATAGAAAAACATATCGGGGAAAACATGGAACCTTAAACAAAGATTTAAAAATGTTTGCTAACTCGTACCTTCATAGGCCCTTTTGAAATACCCAAACATCGTTGGAGTCATGGTCTCCCTGCGATCGGTTGGGGGAGAAGATGCGCTTCTCCTCGCCAAGGCGGCCCCACAGAGTGGGAAATGGTGGAACTGTGGGACACGACATGATAGTTACACAAGGCCTATCTGAGTCTATCTTGTATTCTATTGTATTCTTGATTTCTCCATTTCTAGGTCCAAAATTACCTGAAACCAGCGCAAATCAACTGAAGTATGAGTAAGGCAGTAAGGTTTATCTGGTCCGGTGCGCTTTGAATTCTGAAAAATCTATTTGCAAGACTGACCGACAATACCCCTGGTGGATTTGCAAATTCTTTTCCCGTGCTGCACCTCCCATAGGTTGAACTGCAAGGGCATCAGGGTCCTAAGGCCCGACGACCCACGGGGCGACAAATGTTGCTCTGTTTAAATATGAAGCCATTGTGGGCCCACACCACCCCGCACCCATATAGCCTAGAGTTTAGAGGATTCAGTTTCTACCCTTTACCACGAACCTCATAATATCCCCCCCCTTTAAGGGGGGGGGTGGGGTGGGGGTAAAAACTGAAATATTTCACTTTAGGGGGGGTCTCCCCCCCCCACACACCTAGAAATATTTAACCTCCCTAAAGTGAAATATTTCAGCCAAAAAATTCTGGTCTATAATGGCTTTGGGCGTGGTTGAATTCAAGGCTGAACGTCATGTTCTGGCAAGTTCACTCTCTTATTTACTTTCTTGGAAACCGGCAGTTACCATTTACCTAGTTGTCAGTGTTTGCGCGTGGGCCCTACCCGCGTAAGGACTAAAAAGGTCCAAAAAGGAACAGCGTCCGGAGGAACCCCCCCCCACGTCTTTTAGAAGCCCAAAAAAATACGTGGGGGGGGGTATATTTCACGTGGTCAGGTGAAATATTTCTCAGAAATTTCTTGCCTTACCCCCCCAAATATTCCAGGGTTAAAGGGGGGGGATCTCATAATTATTCCAACGTAAATATGACAACCTGTCACCAGCACTTGAACAATGCATGAGATGTACTGTATCAATTAGATGCGTCCTATGATATCACTTCTAGAAGTGCACAGTGGCACAGTAACTCCCCAAAATTGCCGAACATATATTTCCAGCATGATAGTTCAATCATGTCTGCCCCAGAATTCCAGGCTTCCAAGCTATTTTCGGTGTTGACCTTTGGGGGGTGCTAAGAATCATCATGAGCCTTCGTAGTATGTGCCATGGTCAAAAGATTGTATATGGTCATCCATCTCATATCAGGAATCCAAAAATACTGGCCATATAAATTCCTATTAACAGATTGATGACCCCCAAAAAATGATACATCATCCCATTTCATCTTTTTTTTAATCCAATAGTTGGTTTATAAATGCCACGAGGTGCTATGAATAGATGTCCAGACTCATATCCCATATAAAAAAACATTAAAAAAACACCAATGTTACCCTCTGGTAAACTAACATTGCGAACTGGAAAATCACCATCTTTAGTGGGTAAATCAAGTATTTTTATGGGCCGCTTTCTGTAGCAAACTGTTAGTTTACAGGGCCATGGACCATGGCAGCATATGGCAAGCGCGACTTCCCCTCGACTGGGGCCGACTGCCCAACTTCATTGTTTGGGGTGAAAGGCCGGCTCACCTGGGACAGGGCACACACGGATAAGACAATGCAACTAAAAGAGGCATCAAATTTCATATGGGATCATATGGGTATATATATATATATTTATTTATTTATTTAATCGTGTTTAATTAACATTGAAATTAGTACTGTAAAACAAATCTATATACATCTCTTTCCCTCTCTCTCTCTCTGTCAGGCATGACTGTCCGCAGCCGTCGCATTAGAGGCCTATCATTGTCTATCTATATGCCTGCTCCATCTGCCGCCCTTATCTTCCTGCCTTGGATTTCTAATGTCGTTTGAATTTACAGCTTTTCATATCTTTCATAAGCGACGACAAACTCTTTTCAATGCGTCGTCTAGCTGCATACTACTATTCCAGGCTCAAACAAAGATTGCGAAGAAATCTGCTCTTGGAAAATCTGAGACTGATGAACCTGGTCGCATTGTGGTGCTTCGTGCTTGTCTGCTTGTCATGCTCAATGCCCAAGCTACTGGCTCTGACAACTAATTACCGTCAATTGATGAACGATGTGCCATGATTGAAACTACAAAGGAGGAAAGAATACAGTAAATAAACAATGAGGAAATTTTGGAGGAGAAAAACAACGAAGAGAATTCGTTTGTTTCATGTTCAGAAAAATTGGTGGGGTATACTCCGGGGATACCCGAAACACCATCATTGGGTTTCCAGTAGTCAACCCCTTCGGGACTTCGATGGATTTTCGGGGATGTCGCCATGGTGGGGTGGAGAAAAACCTGGCACCACTGCAGAAATCTTCATTAAGCCTATCACATTCCATCATTGGACCCAGCAATCATCCCAGAAGATCAAATCACTTCAGCATGATTGTTTCATATTGTTTCTTCATCTTTCCAAACTATTGGCTACACTCAGTCCCATTTCGTTGAGGATGACTTAAAGAGTTCACCACAATCATCCAAAACCAATCCGTTCTTATTCGCCATAAAAAATATTCATTGATCACGAACCACTTATAGACATTTTCCAGAATTCGTCAAAATCCATCTTATGAACATTGATTCGGCATTGATTCGGCATTTGTCATATGAATCACATTGAATCACACTCATTTTCCATCGATCAAAAGAATCTGTAGGATCCCACGGGATCCCACAGAAAAACGGGCGTTCCGCTGGGCATTCGCACATGCGACCAGGTGGTCCAACGACAGCCTTCCAAACTTGGGGCTAAGCGCCTGGCAGTCCCAAGTAGTCCCGGTGACCCCAAATGGGGTGACTGGATGAGTTGTTTTTTCTGTCGTAACTGAGTCGTTTTGACTACTATGTATAAATAAATAACTTTATAATTATATATATATATATAATAATGTATAATATATAAATAATATAATGTATATATATATATGCATGTATGCAATATATATATATATGCACATAAATACAAAATAATATTTAATCTACAATATAAAACTTATGACATATAGTAACATATATTTAATAATATATATATAACAGTATATAACCCCCAGCATGTAATATATCTCTCCACTTTCGTGAGTACAAAGAGCGGGTCAAGGGTCACGAACATAATGTGTAGCAACGTTGTCTTGAGAACTTGAGGTTACGAACACCAGACTGGGAATGACAACAGGATACTAAAGGCAACATCATGCAACATCTCTTGGCCCTCATGGCACACTTCCCAGGAACTTCCCACGCCCTTCAACTATCGTTGTGTTGGGGGTACCGTCATAATCCGGTGTACGCACCTCGGTTGGTAGACCCCAAGTTTTTTTTAAACCGGTTCTGCTGGCTAAAAAAAAACTAGTGACGAGTGGGAGTAACTTGTAGTGGCCTGTTGAGATTCCAATTATGAAATTCCTCCTTTTGACTGTTGGCAGTTAGATTTCTATTTTTCTGTGCTTCCGTACATCACTATGTATTTTTGAGCGTGCTCCTGCTCCTAATTTTTATGGGGTTGAGTGATGCTTCGAGACATCCGCTGCCTGGGCAGTCTTTTCGCAGCCTTCTCTTTGGCATCCCTTAGCAACTGGGGATGTCAATGGTAGCAAACCATCCATAAAAAATCTGAGCACTGAGCTGCACGCACACACGCACACACATATTCGCATACTGTACATATATATAATATATATACACACATTATACATACGTAATGTGTATATATAGATATGTATATATATATATATATAAATAATCAGAATCATAAATATATATATATATATTGTGTGTGTGAAAGTTAGGGTCCATCACAGTTTCCACATCTTTCGGTCCTTCCGTAGGCTCTATGGGGGAAAACATTGGCAAACAGGTAAACAAAGCTGGCGGTGGTTTGCACTGTGGAAAGTCAATTAGAATCATCCGTTGATGAGATTGGCGATCATCCTTTGAAGAAGGTGACTTCACCGGAGGGTGCAAGGGAGTATGAACAACTAGAATCATCATGGAGTATGGAGCGGCCCCCATGATCCCCACATTGTTGATAAAATCACAGGGAGAAATGGACAAGTTTATTTATATATATATCTCTCTCTCTCTCTCTCTCTCCCTCTCTCTCTCTCTCTCTCTCTCTCTCCATCGCTGTCAGGTCACCCTGCCCTAGCTGTGCTAGGACGTGAGAAACAGGTACAAAGGTAATTTAATGTCTATATCTACCAATTTTCCGCCCCTTGACTGGGGTGTTGGGAGCAACCTACTCTGACCTACTCTTCAAACAAAATCATCTGGCAATGTGCATCTTTGGCAACCCACCCTAAAGAGGAAACACTCAGAGATTACGCCATCTGCTGGCTCCCCATCCCCACATCTGCACAGCGTGTCACCCAAGTCGAGGCCGCAGCGCTTTACCCTTCGGCCGTGGCAGTTCCTCTGAATCCTCCGACATGTCCTGGGACAATGCTGAGTGTTGAGATCCCTGCAATTAAAAACATGGATAGTATGCAACATTCACTATCAAACATTGTATGTAATCACAGGGCCTTTAGATGTCATCAACAAATATTTGTTAAAACAAATCACGGGTTTGCTGAAAGAAACACATATGAAACCATGGCTTTTGCATGGTGTAAATCATCCATGGTGTGCAACCATGGAAACATGGCCAACCTTCAAGAAGACTCCCAACTGCCAAAGAACAACCCCAGACCATAAGCAGGCCATATTACAAAGTACATAATCAATCTATGCTCATTATGGTTGGGGTCTAGTTGTTGAAAATGAAGAACTGCATAGCATCCTCGCTTGGGCCCCCCTATCTTCTCTGGGTTCCTCGGGATCACGAGCAGTAGCATTGTACTTCCAGTCTGGTAACACCTGCAGAGTTGAAACTGGGACTGCGGGACCGATTCTGGGATGGTACATTCACATTTGCCATGTCTTGCCATCAAATGCCATCGGTTTGGCAATCGGAATGCCCAATCCCAAGGTAGGGATGTGGAGGATCACCCAGTCATACTGTCATGAAAAGAGCTGGGTCACAATGACCACATCGGAAACATCAATCTCTGCTTGGTCTAAGAGGCAGGTTTCCATGTTCATAGGATATGATCACTGTTTGGAATTTGGTAGGCCCAACATGGCCCAACATTCCCCCAATAATCAGCCAAGGTTGCTTGATCTGGTGGCTTATATCATATGTTGTAGCTGCTGACTATCCTCCAGTAATCAGCTCCATGGTTTGCTGGAAACCCGCTTCTTTAGTTCGATAATTTTCCCACTACAACCTCATTTCTAGATGAAACTCCCACTAAAACCGTTAAACCTCTGTTGGCTCAGGGGGGTTCCCAGGGATGGGGCCCCCACTTTGGCCACATAGTTGCCTCGGTCGCCGCGTTGTGAGCCATGGCTTTTCACAGCCAAGATGGGCCAAGATATCAAAATGAGGTCAGACCATCAGACCATTAATAGCTGGGACATACTTTATTTGACAGTGACAAGTGTTAAACATATGATATAATACGATGATGATATACAGTAACCATCAGTAACCCCACGTACTGACCAATTACCAAGTGGGATGATCCTGCAAACTACCACGGATAGGTTTTCTTGGGAAATCAACGACTTACCAAATTGAATTTATCTTTCCAAAGGTTGTCTGCAAGCAATGGGACAAACTTTGAAAATGGGCCAACATGTTGGTAATGTTCGTTATTGATATCTATTGAGACAAGCGAATCTTGGCTACAGTATGTCTGACTACGATATACGCTACTACACAGTATACGATAGTATACGTACTACACTTCTATTCTCCCTCTCTCTCTCTTTCTCTCTAAGTTGACTCTTTCTTCCCATCGCCATCTCAATGAGTCAAGCAGTTTCAATAAAATGTTGATTCAGAGGGTTTGAACTATATCCTTGGTTCAAACATGTCAATTGAATGTAAGAAGTACTTACCCCATCGGTTTCAATCTTCGACCAAGGATCTCCTTCTGGTGCCATTGGCCTGGCCCATTGGCCCAGCTGGTGCAGGATTTGGCAACCATCCACAGTATACCCCTATATAGTCTATATATATATATTATTATTATTATTCTTATTCTTACTATTATTATTCTTATTATTATTCTTCTTCTTATTCTTATTCTTTTTCTTATTCTTATTCTTATTATTATTACTATTCTTATTACTATTATTATTAATTATTATTATTACTATTATTATTACTATTATTAATTATTATTATTATTCATCCTGAAGTAGATATAGATGTTGTCTTTTAAAGAATCAAAACCAAATTTAGTAAGATTGTTGTCTGGTGATTCTATCTACCTCCAGGATGACCATTATATCATCATTCCAGTGATGGCGCAATGAGATCGCTATCAATTTTCATCAATCCACACATAGTATTACATCATATTTCATGGAATTTCATGGGTATGCGTATTACATAGATGTATGCATTATGCATGATATAAAAAATAAAAATACATACATATACATATATATATATAAATAAATAAAGACATATATTTTGGAATCCCCAAACTGGCAGCAAGCCCCAATCTCCAAGTGTCCCTGACACTCCGCAGCCGCACAGCAGCTGGATATTTCTCCAAGATCGCACTGAATCCAAATCGGCACGGTCGCCACGACCAACCAGCCTAGCAAGCACGGAAGCTAGGCACCTATGGCTCAAGCAAGCCACGCCCTCCTCAAGGCTCTCTGAGCCGCCCCAGCTTCAGAGAACATGTGGTCTGCAGGGGACCCAAGCTTTAAGGTTGAAGTGCATGTTCATTGTGAATCGGCAGAGATTTTACATTCCCTTTACAACAAAAGATTCGCAATGTTCCGCAAGGTTGGTGGAACTTCACATATTTCCCATATGGATGACAAGAGGACGGCTTGGCTTTTCCAATATCATCACTCCCTATATGTGTTTGCGCTCTGCCGCAACCATTGCAGTCTGCTTCTAGAGTCTGACCTGGCTTTGAGGATTTCACTTTCATCATGTAAACAGTACTTCCCCAGCTGGAGACATTCACGGAGCATGGCATTATCCATCACTTTGGTCAACGAGTCTGCAACTTGAGCTCCCGATGGAACCCACCGAATTTGAATGCCATTTTGGAGGTGTTCTTTAATCAGCTTAGCTTGAAGCAACGTACGGAACTCTTGACAACTTGGAGGAGCAGTTCGGCTGATGAGGTCATATAGTGATTTACAATCTGTGGTGATTATCCCGCTATTAGACTTTGGTAACTGTTGTAAAAGTTGTTGGACCTTGTCATGGGGAGTGTTTTGATCTTCATCTTCAGTTGGAGGAATGGCTGCAAAAGCCGGTGGCAATTGGAGTAAGGTTTGATCTGCTTGTTTCCATGGAATTTTGGTATCAATCAACCAGCCCCAGTAAAGTCTCACCCAGGATAACATATCCACCGCACCAGCAAGGGCCATTGCCTCTGCAGACAGCGTGCTCACTGCTACCTTCTGTATTTTCTTTGAATGCCACATGATTGGGTTTACGACACTGGTTCGGTTCCTTCCAAGTTCATCATGGCATGACATGATCATCATTCCTTGGTGCGAATCGGGAATCTTGGCCGAGGCAAACGAGGCATCTGAAAAGGCTGCAAATCTAAGATGGTTCATGGAAATTGGTTGAATTTTAAGGGTTACTTCTGCATGGAGTTTGGCTTCATGGAGGGTTTTATTGGCATCATTCAAAGTGGATATCTTGGCTTTGTTAATTTGGGATTGCAAGTTCCCTAGTCTGCTGCACAGGTCAGGCCGGGTGTTTACTGCGGCGTATTGGAGTGATCCAATAAGCCCTCGCAGGCTCTGTCGCTCACTTTCATTGACTGGCTCATCTGGATGCATTTTCCGGTTCTTGGCTATGGCAATTGGGTGTATATCTTTGACGTATTGAGTCTGGTTAATGTGTATTGAGTGGTCAGGTTGTTGGTCGATTCTCAAACCTGTGAAGGTAAAGTTTCTTTTCTTGTGAGATCCAAATGGAAATATCTTGGATAAAGCCATCAATTTTTCCTGGAAGAGCTTTGAGCCACAGCATAAACCATCATCTACATGAACTCCTACGACCCCTTCTGTTGTCCCGGTTTTCGGGTTAACCAACACAAAAGTGCAAGGGTCAAAGGGCGAGGCAGTGAATCCCAAGGATTCTAAACCACGCTTCAGTTCCATGAGCCACAGGTAGGGAGCGTCTACACGACCATAGGCACCTTTGAGCAGTTGTAACACCTCATTAGGTTGCAGCTTTAAACGTTCCCGAAGCTCAGCAGTGGGTTCAATCCCCAAAACTCTGTCACCTTGTTCAGATCCCCTCAAGAAGGCTGTCTTGATGTCGAACGATTCTATGTCCCATCCATTGGATGCTGCAAGTTGAAGAATCAACATTCGCGACAGTTTGGACATTGTTGGTGAATCCCTGGGAATCTCATGTACAAGTGGGTCCTCATACCCCAAAACAACCAAGCGAGCTTTGGGGGTGTGCTGTTTTGGGCCCTCAGAGTTGGAGTCCACAGGCTTCCACGTCAGGATCCATCTGCAACGCATGATGTTGGCCTCTGGTATTTGATGCCGCAAGACACGAGCGACGGTTTCGGTCGCTAACCAACTATCTATTTCCTTCATTTTTGCCTGGTGGAACAGTTCCTTTTCTTTGTTGGATAGTTGAGACATTTTCACTTCGCTTCTCTGTCTTTTGGCAGCGGAAACCAGGAAACTCATTTCAGTTGGGTGTTCTTCGGCTCGCCATTGGTCTACATCCCTCTGTGAGATGTCCACTTCAAAGCGCCAAGCCATATCATCCATGAGTGTGAAACAGTCTACTTCTTCTGCAAAAAGTTCATCATCATCAGTTGGCACAGGGACATCGATGGGTGTGTCTACTTGGCTTTGAGACATCACCGCTGGAGCCGCTGGTGGGCTGACGGCAGATCCTCTCGCATTGGGCTGATTTCCCAGTTCAGGCTCTGAGGGAGCTGCTTCTGGTTCAGGATCACTTTGGATACTCTGGTCTGATGACCTTTGAGAGGCTTGATTGTTCACTGGCATTTCGGCTGCTGACATTGGTTGTTGGGGATCATTTTCAAGGTTAGAAGTTATAGGGACATTATCTGGCATTGGTAAGTTATGGAACTGGGTGCCACCATGGTGAGGGATTATTGATTGCTGAGTATTTGTTGGTTGGAAATGCGGTACATGAGAATTGCTTTGGTGCCACTCCTCTACGGCTGAGAGAGGTCGAACATGTTCAGGAGCTGCTCTGTACAATTTGGTGCCCTTGGTTACCCATATAACCTTGTTTTCTTCTTGGATGATGACTTGCATGGGTCCTTCCCATTGGCCTTCAGACTCTCCCTTACGTTTCCACAACATGACCCATGTGCCTGGGCTATAGTGACCTCTATTGGGTCGACTGCGGCTTGTGAGGGCCCTTCGCAACACTTGGTCATTGTCGATTGACACAAAGGCCCGGCGAGCTCGTTCTCGGGTGGCTAACTCTTCTCGGAATTTCACTCCTTCTGGAGTCGGGTGCAAAGCAGCATGATGGGAGGCGGTCTCTTCATCATTGACTACTGAACCCCCCAACTTTGATCCCTTACCAAACACAAGCATTTCCGGAGGGTAGCCACGATAACGGCTCCATTGATTCTTTGTCATGGTGGCCTGGGCAAGTGCTGATGGTAAGATGTTATCCCTTCTTCATGATCCATTTTGTTCAGAATCATTTGTAGGATTCCCCCATGACGTTCCACTCGGGAATTCTGCCAGTGTCCTTCGGTTGCACAAGTCCTACTCTTGATACCAAATCGCTGCAAAAACAACCCAAACTCTTCGGAATTAAATTCCGATGCCGCATCCATGACCAACAACTTTGGTGCACCGGCCCATTGTAGCCATCCTTGCAACAGAGCTTGTGAGGCATGGTGTGAGGACCTTGATACGGAACACACTGCTGTATGATACAGAGTACTTTGATCAAGAAAATGATAGAAATGGTATTGTTCACCTTGCTTGTTTGTCCATGTAATACCATCCATAGCTATCACATCTCCAAAATCACCATGCTCGTGTATGGCACTTGGTCGGGCAATTCTTGGCATCTGTGTTTCCTTGCAAGTGGAACACTGCAAATCAGGGATTGCTTGGAGAATCCGCTCAGGGCATTTAAGCTGGCGGCAAAACTCTACCAGCTTCGGACTACCCGGATGGCCCAGGTTACGGTGAATTTTCAGCAACTATGATTGTTCGTTGCTCGGCAGCTGTAAAAACTTTGGACCATGTCTTTGTGATGCCAAGTCAATTGCATGTCGATCTTCCCCACTGGTCTCGGCATTTTCTGATCTCTCATGTGTGTTTTCATCTTCCCCCATCGCGGTCATGTCTTGAGGTTCATGTGAGGTATTGTCATGGCTTATAAGTTCTTGGTTCCGGTGAGTGTTATTGGAATTGTTATGGGTATTGTCACTGTGACTGGGACCATCATGAAAATGTAATTGCGTTTGTTCTGCATGACTGCTGGGCTCATGACACCGGTGTCGCTTGCTGGATGGACTCTCTGGCCTCTCAAGTCCATGCACTCGGACTGCAGGGATTGCAGTGTCGGCAGAAGGTTCAGCTGTTGGAACATTGGGCACCCGGGGACGTGCAAACATCGTGAGACTCAGTCGTGCAGCTACAGCTTTTCTACGCAACCCTTTGTACGTGAGTCTTTCCCATGCTTCCCATTCTTCATCCACATAAATCCCTCCTACTTTGCGACGAATGCAAATCATTCTTCTCAAGGGAGCATCACCCGGATACATGGTCTTATTTGGGCCTACATACCGGTCAGTTCCTCGACACAACACGAGGTGTTTGATTTCATGTTGAGGACACATTTCTTGCACTTGTTGCATCAGTGGTCCATTGTCAATGACCATTGTCCCAACACGGCGTGCAGTTGAGTCAGCCAGCTTCATCACTGTCTGCCAATCGACACTTGGAAATTGCCTGGCAATTGTGTCAGCATCGGTCTTCTGTCCCAATCTACGTTTCTTGGTGGGATGTTCATCGATGCTAAGCTTTGGAGCCATGAGTCTGCTAACCAAAACAGGGTGTGACTGGTCATGGCAAATGCATCGGGCAACTTGTCTGGCAAAACGACTTGGATATCCCTCAGTAAATTGTGACAAAGGAAGCCGGATGCCACCTACCATGGTCTGACCAGCAATGTGCTGATGTTCATGGCTGCCAGAGCAAAAACGCTTGTGCAGGCTACGGAACAAATCATTGGAGGTGGACAAAACTTCCATTCTCTTTCGCAGGAACTGGTCGGTCAGGGGATCACGGAGTTGGCCAACTTCACACATGTCGAACCTGCAACAGTAAGTGTAGTTGAGGATTTCCTGCATACCTGGAACCTTCTTCAACAGTGATCCATCAGGTTGTTCCAGGTCAAAATGGTTGCCATTTTCCTTTTGGTGACGGAACAAAACAATTCCCAACGCAACTTGCCACAAGTGATTTAACCTTTCATGGAAAATCTTGACCTGTAACTCCAGTGATCGCTGTTCATTGTATTGACTCCATTTGCACCAGGGTTTGCATACAGGACTATACCACACATGCTTTGGGCGAAGTGTGACCACCTCTTGAAACAGTTTCATGCGGCCGGAGAGAGTGCTCAAATCCCCTTGATCCAGACCGAATCGATGAGCCCTGCCTCCAAGATGGAGTGCCTGCTTAGTCAGTTCGCTATCCGAGTGACACATGACTTCAAGTAAGTCCAGGCGTCGCTGATATACTTTGGGTGTTCTCACAGACTTCAGTTCCGCAGAAAACTGTTTCACCAACTTCTTCACTTCCGTCTTGAAGGACTGTTCATGCTGACCATCCGGAATGGGAAACTCAAAATCCGGAACCATATCATGAATGCTACTGTGAACCCCAAAGCAATCACTTTCTAAGGCGTCATCTTGAGCGCCTTGACATGAGAAATCAGCTCGCTCAGTGCTGCTTCTACTCCATTCATGCGCTGGTGCAGGGTCTGGTTCTCCTCGAAGAGGGAGCACATCTGATCTTCCATGTTTCCCATCCTCAGCGACTGCTCGATGTTGTGACTCACCACCTCCCCGCTGGCTTCGCTCCCCAGGTCCTCCTCTTTCACATGGCTCCATGAGGCTTCGGAACCCATCTTCTGGTTGTTGATCCTGGGCTTGGTCACTTTGGGAGGACTCTGAGAAATCTCCTGATCCAGGCGCTTCTCGACGTAGGTGATGTACTTCTGATGGGCCGTCTTGTCGCTCTTCTCGTATTGAGAAACAAACCAATCTGTCCACTTGTGGTCCTCGAAGGCTGTTGCAAACTTCATCCCGGCTTTGGCTTTCCCAAATTGGATCGTTTCTTTCTCCAACTCCTCTAGGGGCATGAGCTTGATCTCGGTCATCTGATCGGCTGCGCTGCTGGTCTCCTTTTGGGCACGGAGAAGCTGCAGTTTCTCGGTGAGGCTGGATGCCATGGTCTGAAACTGCGGTGGTTGACACTGACTGAACGGGGCACGAATGCTTCGATCCACTGAGCACGCTGCTGTGGTGACGGTCGGATGCATCTTGATGCATGGTGGTCATGGTCTTCGGCACACATGGTTCATGTTTGATTACCCCATTATGTCCCACTTTACCGTTATTTAATCCCACATGGTTATCCAGTTTATGGGTTGGCATCTCGGCAGTTTCATCAACAGTGGCTGGAACGGATGCACAGTTACTCACCTCAGTTTTGTCAGGCTCGGACACTGTGCTGCTCGAGTCTTCCACATGAAAGCTAAGCTGCGCTGATGTCTCTGGGCTCTCCCACAACTGATTCAAATCCATGAGTATCAAATTCTTGGCAGTTCGTGTGATCTTCAGGTTTCTGTTGAGCTGTTTGCTCCACATGACATCCAAGTCTGTGTCAATCACTGCTTTGATCCCTTTCAAGAATTTGCTGGAAATCAAAAAGGGAGTGGGCCCCTCTACCACGGCAATTTGGAACCTTTGAGATCCCAGAGGCAACAGCAATGCATGACGGCTGACTAAAGTCTGATGGTTGCCAAATCGGAAAATCAAGTGGCATGGAACACGCTTCACCTGCTTACGGACCCAATCAGGCAATTGTGACAACAGCTCAGGCACTTGTTGGCTGCCAATGACGGTTTGAGAGGCACCTAGATCAACCACACCTATGGATCCGGAAGACGCAAAAAAACTGGGGCAAATCTCGCTATCTACATCGGCATTGGACTCGGACCTACACTGCTTACGTTGTCGCAAACCCTCTAAGGCTTGGTTCACCTTCGAATCAGGACAGCTGGCAATGCTAAAAGTCGGCCATTTCCTGGAGACAACTGACAGATTATCCCGTTTCTTTCCCAAAATTCTCCCAAAAATTTGGTGGGTCGTGCTTACAAAACAATCAGAGACTTCGGCTTTGGGACGGCAGTCCTCGGACACATCCAGCGATTGCACTTCGACTGGGACTTCTGATGCAGTGACAAAAGACGTTGGCACTGTCGATGCACTGGAGGCTCCACCACTGGTCCCCTTGTTTGGGCATTCATTTTTCCAGTGACCCTTCTTCATACACAGGCGGCAGTATGAGTTGGCGATTCTGGTTGCGAGGGAAGCTTTGCCTTTCCCTTTCCCTTTTCCTTTCTTACCTCCACCTTTTTCACCTTTCTTCACACTCCAGAATCCTCTGAACCTGAACTTCTCTGACAAACGCTTTCGAGCGTCCTGGTATGACGAGTAGTATGCTCCTAGTTCAGCATCATTTTGTACCATGTCTGATACTGCATCCTCAAACTGTAAAACCAAGGCTGCATCTTCGTCATCCTCGGCTGCCAACGCCTCTAAGGTGGCGTCATCAAGGGTCTCGTCAGAGGCCCAAAACACATCTCCATCCGCATCCCATGTTGTTTCAGCAGTTTCTTCCAGTGAAAAGGCGGTGTGATCGTAAGTTTTGAGGCTCTTGTCACGTTTGTTCCCAATCATGTCCTGAAAGAACCCTGACCCGATCATTCTGATTGCTGCTTCAACACTTTTGACTGTCAGATTGGCACCACTTTCAGCACCTGACTCGACTAGAACGCGTTTCTTGTCGTCACTGCTGAGTCTGCTACCCCTCAACAGTATGTAGGCCTGAATCTCCTTGATGTCAATCTTCTTGTTCACCAGTTCTGTCCAAATCACATCGCACCTGGACAGATAGGAATCACTTGTTTCTTCTGACTTTTGGGCACCTCTAAACAAGGCTTTCTCCACAATCTCAAACTTCTTCTCCACGGGCACAGCGCCCCATTTTCCCCCAACAAGCTCGACGATCTTTTGGATTCCCTTGGTGTCATTCACTAGGATCTCATCCTTGTGCAGTTGTAACTTTTGAAATGCCGTCCCTTTGCAACCCAAAACCAACCTGGTAGCTAGCTCTTGTATTTTGGTGGGTGGCCATGTCAAAAGCAACAACTCAACTTTGCTTGTCCAGATCTCCACATTGTCCACGGCAGGATCAAACGTAGGAACCAAGACTGCTAACTGGTTAGGCACATGCCCTGCATCGCCCAAGGTTTCAGAGGTCCCTGACATGTCGTACTGGCTCCGCTACCAGTTTGGAATCCCCAAACTGGCAGCAAGCCCCAATCTCCAAGTGTCCCTGACACTCCGCAGCCGCACAGCAGCTGGATATTTCTCCAAGATCGCACTGAATCCAAATCGGCACGGTCGCCACGACCAACCAGCCTAGCAAGCACGGAAGCTAGGCACCTATGGCTCAAGCAAGCCACGCCCTCCTCAAGGCTCTCTGAGCCGCCCCAGCTTCAGAGAACATGTGGTCTGCAGGGGACCCAAGCTTTAAGGTTGAAGTGCATGTTCATTGTGAATCGGCAGAGATTTTACAATATATATATATGCATATTATAGCCATATACTGCACATATGCATACAATACAGTAACTACATACATATGTGGCCATGTGTGTATAGATCATTGCAAATCCAAAGAAAAAAACATACGACAAACACGATTAGTGTTTCTGTTCAACGTGATTGAAAATAGCTTGCATGCTGCATGATGCAAGGCTCTACCATCTCAGGAAATGTTACATCGTTCAATTGAATTGCCCAGGTAACATATACCTGCACGTTGCTAATGTCGTATTTTTGCTGAAGGGCAAGGATAACAAAGGATAAATGGATACATCGCAGCTCTATTGCCAAGGCCTGCTGAACACGATGGTGCACCCAGCACCCAGCTGACGTTTCAAATCAAAGAATGCGCCCAAAGTGCCAACTCCCCATGTCCATTTCATGCACTTCATGTGTCCAAACTTGGTGTACCCCGGGGCATGTTTCCTCCCAGTCAAGTCGAATATTTGCATAATAATCATAAATAGTCATACAATACAAATATATATATATATGTATGTATATATATATATATGTATATATATATATATGTATATATATATATATGTATATATACATATTCGGTGGACTTTGGCGCCTCTCCCCCCAAATTGCTGGAGATGCCCTGCTGATTCTAGCTCAAATCATCATCCAACGATGTGATGAAAATTCATGTCCTACAAACACCGCCTACATCCGCCTACAAAACCCTAAATTAGCCGCTACGTCATTGCCCTGTTGGCCCTGCAACCTACCGTACTGTGATGTGCTTCCATGAGCATGGACCTTCGTTCCGAGACATACCAAATCATTAAATTTTTGACTTGAGAAATGGCACAAAATGTCATACGAGATCCGTTTTTTGATGATAGTAAATCATCCTATTTAGAAACTAAATCATCTATCACTTGTTTTAGAAACTCAATGCATAGCTCCAACTGCGTCCCTATTTGTCTTTTGAATATGGATACCCACAGCTCCGAATCGCTTCCTCCTAAATAACCTCTGGATAGTGACATGACATTCCGCCCCAAAGCTGCCATCGCCTTTGAGATCTGTTCCATGAGAACCACCCATGGCACCTGGGAGTTCGAAATTCACAGGTCATTTAAGGGTGTTTTTTTGTGAAATACAAGACACACATAGACACACCCTATGATTCGAAACTTAAGGTATACATTTCCTGTTTACCATAAACATCCATTAACGGTTTTTAGGTCCAAAATAGATTCCAACTATAGATCCCAACTATAGGTCACAAACGGCCATAGATTCCAACTATAGATCCTGTTTTAGAAACGGTGTTTTCCAACGGGTGACAAAAACAATGGACCAAAATGGACCAAACATCTCTGGCGCTTTACGCCTCTGCCTTGATAGGTCGCCTTTCAATGAATCCAATGTTGATGGTATAAAAATTGCCTTTGGTGATTTAACCAAACACAATTGAGTGATTTGATGGAATCTATAATGATTTTTATCTATATATATATATATATACAGTATATAATATATATATATATACATTGTTTTTATTGCAGCACACCAGAGACAAAACAGATTCGGAAACGAGGCACTTCTTCACCCGCCACGGGCCTGCAGCTGTGTTCGTGATGCTGCTGGAAGCTGGTTGGCCATCAAGTGGCTATCCAAATGGCAACGATTAAAAAACATGGAACATCATCAAAGCGTCGCAGGATGTGAGGGCCCAATGACTTGGATGCTGGCCAATGACCCTGGGACAAACCAGAAAGCCTCATAGCTTGCCTGAGGATTTGCCTAGTGGATTGGGATTACAAGTCAAACAGCCAGCTACTGATACTGCATCACTTGGGGTGAAGCGAAGTCACTAGGTGATTGATTAAATTGGATCATTACCCCGTTTATACAATCGGCACCAAAATCACCAGGGGCTCATCAGTGTAGGATCGCCCGCCTTGTTTTTCCAGATCCCAGAGAGCTATGCGATAAGCGCCGGCCAGCCAACGAATGTTGTTTCTGGGCTGGGAGCAACCGTTCCTGCCGGGGCCATGCCACACAAATCTACAGAAATCAATGAAGACAAGCTGCTTCCCATGCTTCCCATGGCAATGTACAGATTGTTTCAGGATACTCCGTGAAGATTCTCTTGGAAGCTGGTCTGGGGAAAACCACCGTGACATGGAATGACGTTTGGATGGCACAGTTGAAATTCATTCCTTTTTAAGCTTACTGGTGCTTAGTAGGGTATGGATGGGAATGGGGGAATGGGATGATTATTACTGGTTATCAACTGGTAGGGAGTCAGTTGTAGTCAAGACACTCGAAGTTCTGGACCAAGAAGTAGTTGCAAGTGCAGGCAAACGAAGTCCTTTTTGCACACGCGTAGCCGTTGGGGCTTTGCTAAGATCACACCCTCTGGTGGTTGAAAGAAAATGGCCACAGGTAAATGTGTGGCAGCTCTGATTGAAACTGACATGCTAAAGCAAATGGTAAATGACATGAGTGCATGGAGTGCATTCGACACAGGGGCAATATTAGCCGGCACTCACATCAAAACATCAATGAATTACGGTTTGGACGTAGTTCAATCGTCCTCCATGCTGCCTAAAATATTCTTCACAGTCTTGCCAGAAGGTTGTGCCAGTGTCTGGGTGTACCTCATATGGCGGCAAACTCGCTAGGCAGAAAGAACAAGCGTATCGCTCTTCAACTTGATTGGCATTGTTCAATCCGTTGCAGTCGTGGCGATGGTGCCAGCATCTTCCAGTTACAGCGAAATAAATCCTGACTTGATTCAAATTTCGTGTCTCATCCAGAATGCGGTCTAAAAGACCAACTGCAGTACGAATAGATCTTTGATCTTGTGTTCTTTCTTGCTCTCTGATTGCAGCATGATCATCAATGACAAACTGTTGATCGACCAATCGACCTTGGGCAGCTATCAGCTCGTCACGCAGTCGACGGATCTCCGTCTGTTGGTCAGTGATTTGCGCATTGATGTCGATGACACGCTGTTGAAGCTGTATGTTTTCAGCTTGCTGTTCCGCATGGTCCACACGTAGCTGGGCATGCCCGTCCCTTCGGGAGGCAACTAGTTCCTTCAGCAGTCGTGCGAAAACGCAGATCAAGCCAAAACCAAAAGTACACAGCAGGAAAACGCCAAAGGCCAGAAAAAGATAAATGTCATCTGTCTCTGAAAACTCAATGGGTGCATCTTCCAAACTGCATTGATTTCCAGAAAAGAGGTCTGATGCAGCTGTGCTCTGCACCATGGTCACCAGCAAAACGTAGCGCAGCAACAAAGAGCCGCCGCCATGGCTTGCATATGTCTCGACAGGGGCCTGGAAATTCTCATGGTCAAAGTTCTCTTCAAAAGCTGTGTCATTCTGTGAGTGCTGGTCATTCACAAAAGCTTCGGTGGGTTCAGTCTCAAAGGCCTCGACATGGGGCTCTAGGTTCTCAGTCATGTCGAGCTCTTCAGTGATCTTCTCAAAAGTGCTATTCTTTGCTCCAACATTCACTGCATGAGTTGTGGTTGTGTTGTGTTGTGAGTTGGTGTTGTTGAGTTGTTTCGAAAACTGATTTCTGCTCTCTGCTCTTTCTTGTGCTGATTTCTTCTTTGAAGCCTGGTATGTAGGGTCCCAGGTGTATTTGATTGAGCCGTGCCTAAGTCGGTCTGCAAGAAGCTGACGTGCGGACATCTTTGTCAGCCCATCGCCAAACTGGCGTTCTGATGAAATCCATTTCAGGGTTCCACCAATGCATTCGACTTGTTCTCGGATGACACGTAGTTCCAAGTTGGTGCGCTTGTCAGTCGCTCCATGGTTGATGGCATCTCGATGGAAGGAGTAAAACAGGGCCTTCGCATCTGTGACAAAAATTGGAGCCAGCGTAGGATTCTTCACATCCAAAGTTTCTCTGATAGAGTCATATGGATTGAAAATCAAATGCCAGAAGCGCACAACGAACTCTGTGGTGTCAACTGCCTGAGCAGCCGATTGAACTTCAGCAGCTAAGCTCGAACGAGCCACCCTGGGTAAACGAAAACTCTTCCAATCCAAAACATGGTATGGACATTCCACCCCATCAAAAGCATCCTTGTGAGTCAGCAAAACGATGAAACCACCCTGGCTGGAGCCGTCGTGACGCACGCCAAGTGCTGCGTCAAACATGCAACTCAGACGCAAGTCTTTGAGTTCACCAAGCGGGTTGAACTTCAGGTGGACATCACTGTTGGCCTTGCTAAACTTGAGGAGCTTGTTGGCTTCAAGCAAGGGTGCAGAAAGTCCAGTGCTCATCTCGCCTGACAACAAGCTGGTTGAAGCTTGGATATGTGGAGAGCTCTGTATCGCTGGCCATTGAAGGCTTCCAAGTAGGCCTCTCAACATTGTTTGCTCCTTGTCGGACATGGGTTGGTGTGATTGACGGCCCCGCTCAACGGGAATTGGTTGAACTTTTCGAAGATATTCATCATGACTCACATGCCATGTACCGTCAGAATCACGTGTCATCTTGGCACCGCAGTATTCAAAAGGTTCATCTTTCTGCCAAGTGCGGAAGTTAAAGGACTCTTTGAGTTGTTTTTCTGCATTCAAATAAGTCTCGGACTTGGTATCACCGCATCCCAACATGTCGTCAACATGCAAACATAGAAGGCCACATAGTTTGGTAGCTGAGCCGCCAGCTTCGTCTGGTTCATAAAGAAGCCAAAAACAAGGATCCATAGGGTGAGGCACCCACTGCAGTTGGCGAAGCCTGCGGGTCGCCTCAAGGAACCATCTCTTTGGTGCATCAAGCTGGCCACAAACAGGCTTGTACAAAAACATCCTGGTGTCAGCATCGCCTCCAAGAATTCTGAGGGCGTCGGCTGGTAACTTCACACACAATCGCCTCTCCTGTGGAAGTCCTTGGAGAAAGGCTGTTGAAACATCAGCGCTCCAGCCGCACCAACCAAGGATTGCAGAGATGGAAAGCAAGCATGCTCTGCCCAACCTTGTCGAGGCTGGAGATGCAGTGTCTAGCTCTCCTGCTAAGGCATCGGCATCAGCATAGCCACGCACGACAAGTCTCACCTTTGCACGTGGCGTGCCGTCGGCATTCTTCGACCACTTCAGCAAAATTCTACTTGTAAGTGTGCGAGCTGGGTCTGCTTCTTTTGTGGTCTGAAAAGTCCAAACGCCGTTGTCGAAGAAACTCTTCAGCTCTTTCACCTTGGCTTGATGAAAAAGGAGTCGATCTTCAAGGCTCAGCTTTCTTTCGTTGATCTCATTCTTGGGGGCAACTTTTCGCATCTTGCGCTGTGCGTTGACCTTCTCTTTCTTGCCAATCTGTTTTGCAGTCATGGCAGCATATGCATGAAATCCAAGTTCTTTGCGAACATCGCCATTGAGTTGAAAAACAGTGCAGCCAATCCATGGAGTGTTGGACAAGGTGCCATGGCCATCTTCAATCTTGTCAGTGAAATGTCTGATGCCATGGTCATGCTTGGAAACAGTAACCCTCACATTGTCCAGCTGTTGGAGAGGAACTGGCATATGGTTGAGGTCTTTGGCAGAAAGAGCTCTTGGGTCAAAAAGTGCCCTGCGAGGAACAACGTGATGTCGAATCAGACATCCTGCTTTGAGCTCCCAAAAATCTTTGGTATGGTCTTCCAAGGTGATGTAGCCGTCTTCAAACTTCCAACCCGTTGGCAATGCCGCAGTTTCGAGATCCTCAAGGTCAAACGCTGAAAGTCCAAAATCAGCATCTTCTTTGTCATGTTGTGGAGGATCATATGGCACTGAGCGTGCAGGTGGTGCACGTCTGTGTGGGCCAAACGACATGGTCTCTTGAAGTTGGAAGCGACGCCGGTGAGCTCGAAAGTCTTCATCTGTCGCAGGTTGATACAAGGAGGCAGTGTATGGGTCAAGTTGTGGAGCTTGAGCAACTGGCTGTTGAGGTGGTTCAGGGTGTTGAACTGTAGATGGAGATGAAATTGGATGTTGAGGTGGTTCAAAAGATTGAGGTGCTTGAAATTCAGATTTTGGACTGGGTTCGCGTGACGGCTCTCCCATGCTGATCAGCACATCCATCGCTGGATCATGTAAAAGTTCAGTAAGTCCATGAAGTCCATCGGATCCAGCTGGCTCAACAAGTCCAGGTTGAGCGATGTCCTCAAATCCAAGAGGATCAGGCTGTGGTCCAGTCGAAAGTCCAAGTGACTGGCCAGGTTGAGAGTCAAAGTCCAAGATCTCAACATCAGCCGGTGGTGGATCAGGTGCCAGTGAAGGGGAGTATGGAGGAGATGGAGGTTGAGGTGGCAACACATGTTCAGGGTCGAGAAGTCTTCGACGAGTTGCAGGAGGACGCAAATCGTCATCATCATCGTTGTTGTCATCCATGACTTCTTCATCAGTGCCGATGTCATCGATGTTGCGCTTGTTCTGGATGGACAAGTCAATGAATCGTGTCACACCACGTGACTTCAGAGATTTGATCACGTCCTTGGCGTCTTGGAGGCTGCTTGTCAGGCTGTCAGTTGACTTGCCGATCTCAGGACGTACGTGGTGTGGTGCCGCTCGAAGAAGCTGTGACTTGTATCCTATCCAGTAGATGTGCGGTCTGCCATCTTCATTGTCTTCTCTCATGAGGACTGTGGCAGGACCCTTCCAGCGAATCTTCACGAGGTCTGGTGACCTGCTGTCGCGCCAAAAGTAGCATCGCTGTCCAGGAAGTAGTGCAATGTTCATGCCAGCATACTTCCTGAGAAGGGCTCGCCTGAGCTTCTGGTCTGTGTCGGCCTGGATGATGGCCATTCTGGCTGTGGCTCGCCTGGCAAGTTCATCTTCAAAGGATTCACCAAGGTGGACTGGAGTGAGTGAAGTTCCAAGGAGTTCGCCAGGCAGGTCAGGAGACTGTCCCAGAAGCCATTGAGCAGGTGAGAAGCCTGAGGTCGAAGGTGTGTTGTTGATCTGGGGCACAATGTAGGCCAAGGCCTGTTTGACGGCCTTCTCACCGCTGATGCCGTAGTCGGCCAAATAGACTTCCAGTGCTTTTCGCAAGACAGCATGTCTCCTTTCCACAAGTGCCAACTG